GCTGTCAAGGTCGCAGACAACCAGCTGAAACAGCTAGATGCACGCATTGCTACCTTGGAGGCAAGGCCTCCCCAAGCAGCGCCAGGCTGCACGACAGATATGACAGACATGACGAAGCAGCTCAATGGGCGCATTGATCATGTCGTCAATCTCATCGGCGACATAGGTGTTTTCAATGGGCCGGACACGATCAGTAGCACGGTGGCCGCCATCAAGACGGACATCACCAAGCTGCAGACGAAACCGGACGCCGCCACGAAGAATTACAAGATGCCGCAGTTCGACATCAGCAAGTTCGACGACCACAACAAGACGGACGCTTTGGCATGGTGGCAACGTTTCCTCACGGAAGCATCATGCCGCACTGTCCCGGCCGACGACATGATGAAGGCGCTATACTTGCAACTGATTGGAGGAGCGCAAGCATGGATGAACCATCTGGCGACTACCCACAAATGCACCATCGCCGAACTCCACACGCACCTCACGTGGAAAGATTTCGAGAAGCTATGGTTCACCCAGTTCATGATCCGCAACGTCCTGAAGGCAGCCATGAACGAGGTGTACACCTGCTCTCAAGGGAGTATGCCAACTCGAGACTGGACAACCAAGTGGCAGAAGATAGTGACCACGCCAGGCTTCGATTTGAGCTTTCCTAATCAACGATCCGAGTTCTTCTCCCGATCGTGCGCAGGATTGCGGTCGGCACTCGGTAACGAGTACGACTATACCTCGTTCCAAGCTATCCTGGATCGCGCAAACCTGGTCATCCAAACGGACGACAAGGCCGCTAACGAGAAACAATCCCAGCCGCATTATGTGGCTAAGCAGGGCTATCAACGTCCGACACATAACAATTTCGTGATTTCTGAAGAAACAGACGACCTCCACGTTGCAGCAGCATCCTCGAGTGATGGAGGAATTGTAGCAGCGCTCCCGCCGAAGAGTCCCAAGAGAGTTCGGAAGAACAAGGCGACACAAGAGACGGCATCGACGGGAACTAGGCAGCAGCCATGGACGGCTTACAAGATAACCAAGGATGTCTATGACCTTCGTCAAAAGTACGGATACTGCCTTTGGTGCAACGGCGTCATGCATTTGACCGCACAATGCCCCGAAAAGGGCAAGACACGCGTACCCCATCCAGCAAACTCGGGAAACTGAGTTACGCAAGGAGAGGGGCGACGTCTCTCCTCACTCCGCCGAAACCGGTTGCCTTGCTAGCAATCGATGTCACTACCGGGGAGCATGCGTTAGTCGCTGATTCTCGTGCTACATACGAGGATTATGCCGCCCAGCTGGTACCACCACTAGACCAGCCGAGCCACGTGCACTTAGATTGCGTATGCGCAGCCTGTACACCGTCGGCATGTGATCCGGTCAGTTCACCACTGATTTTCGAGGACTCGACGGCGTGGTCAAGACTTGAGGAGCTTGACCCGCTCACGAGAAAGGACTTCGCTTGGATGCCTCTACCCTCGACCGAAACCTTGCAACACCTTGATGGCAAATCTACGCTCCTATTTGCACACTACAGTACCAGCTTCGTTGACGGACGACGGAGTAGCGGTTGTCGATCTCTGCTCCTATCTTGCGAAGATTGACCGCAAGTACGCCACCCAAAGGTACGTCGAAACCGACGCGCCTTTGCTCTATATCCGCATTCAAATCGGAAAGGCAACCTGTAGTGCCTTGATTGATTGCGGAGCGTCTCGCAACTTCATGAGCCAAGCCTTTACGGCCCGCGCAGGCCTTGACCCGCGTGTTCGAAGGAAGACACAACCCACGCAAATCGCACTCGCGGACGGCCGCACGCAAAAGTCAATACACCGATGCGTCGATGACGTTCCGGTATACTTTGCGCCACTTGCGTGCGAGCCGGTGTCTTTTGACATCCTCGACACCAAGTTCGACATGATTCTAGGCATGTCTTGGTTGCGTAGCGCCGATCATCCGGTGAACTTTCATGACCGAACCGTTCACATCTGTGATCGGAACGGAGTGTTARTCCCATGTACGGTCGCGACCCCTCACACTTCGATTGCTTGTCACGTGGATTCCGTTGCGAGAATTCGCGACGCCATTGCTCGGAATGACGTCGAGGAGATGGGCCTTGTATTCTTGCATGATCTCCCCTCGCCGGACGAACCAGCCGCGTCACCGCCGGACCCACCCATTTCTCACCTCTTGGACGAGTATAGAGACGTCTTCGAGGTTCCCACCGGAACGGTTCCGGATCGGCCCATACGTCATGGGATCACTCTCGAGGCTGGCGCCGTCCCTCCGCGTGGATGTATCTACCGCATGAGCGAAGAGGAACTCGAGGTGCTTCGCGCACAACTCGATGACCTTCTCGACAAGGGCTGGATTCGCCCTAGTTGCTCGCCATACGGTGCCCCTGTTCTCTTCATCCGGAAGAAGAACAAAGATCTACGGTTATGCATCGATTATTGAAAACTTAACGCACAAACCGTAAAGAACGTTGGCCCTCTCCCTCGGATTGATGATCTYCTTGAGCGGTTAGGCGGCGCGACGTACTTCTCAAAGTTGGACTTGAAGTCAGGTTACAGCAGATTGAAATCCAGCCTCAAGACCGGTACAAGACCGCGTTCAAGACGCGGTACGGGCATTTTGAGTGGGTTGTCATGCC